AGAAAGCGCCCAGCCGCTATGGCCCATGCCGGAATGCCAGCTTCGCACAAGCGCAGCAGGCGTGTGTGTTCTGGGTCATGGATCACCTGCAGGCCATGTACGTAGGTGTTGGCTTGAGCGGATCCAGTCTTTCTTACAGAGCCCAAGAGGGTCCTCTCTGCAAAGACCGAGCTCCAGTTGTAACAACCTGCTCCCGATTTCTACTTTGGCCTCTCGGAGCACATAGGGCAAGAAGGGATCGTCAAAGCGGAAGTTCACCTCAGAGCAACTTGGGCACAGAAGAGAGGAGTCGCAGAGAAAACCCACAAAGTACTCAATTGCATGGATGTGGGCCGTGAAGTGGGAAACCAACAGCCCCTTTGAAACGCGAGTGCAAAGTGCAACCGGGCCACTGTACGATTGTACAGCACTTCCATGACCTTGTGGGTGGGCACTGTGGTGAATCGAATTCGCTTCGCACGGGAACCTAACAACTCTCCATTCAATTTGGGATCCGCTGGCAAGATCAGAGGGTCGAACTCTCCAAACTACTATGCCAGCGAATCCACCCCAAACAATGAAAGAGCACCCTCTCAAGACCTCCCCACAATTCCCAAATGCACACCGTCCCGGATGCACGATTGGCACCGGAGAACATGTCTCGGGGCGAACAGCGATCTGGTTCCCGGATGTTACAAGCTATCGCAGTTGTGAAAACGCCGAGAAGCGGAGGAGTCAGAGTCGACCTGATGCGAAGCACAGCTTCCCGTGCCGCCATCTCCGTCATGGACCTGCGAACGCACATGCCATCGAAAGGGCATGTAGAATCTGCTCGAACTAATCGATGTTGTCGCAGGTTTGCCGGTAGGTGCCCCAGACTGTCACCGTGGTGCTCTGATGTGCTCCAGACTGCCTGAGAAGTGGGCGAAGTGTCGCCCCCGCTGAAATCCTCGCATGAACTCAGAACATCGCAGAACTCCGAGCATCTCCGAGCAGTCGGAAAGCCGAGGTGCCAAGCTGCGGCGCGGAGAGGTCGGGCCGCCCACGACTCGCTCCTGAAAACAAGCCCGCGGAGCTCCGACGGGGAGCTCCGACGGTTTGTTTTTCTCAGACTTAGACTTAGACTTTTCATTTCGCAAGACTTCGAGCAGCGAGGCTCCGCTGCTCGGACCACGGCGTTGATCCGCGCGAAGGACGCCTCCTCTGCACGGGGCTGCCAGTAGCTGGGACCCACCTGCGAATCAGAATCTTCCGCCTTGACTGAAAATTCGATTCAAAGACCGATACCGGGAGCCTTGGAAGGAGAAGTGTGCAGCTTGCAGTTCTCCGTGAGTAGGACAACCTGCTTCGGGCAAGCGAAGCAATGTGGCGTGTCCCAAGTCTGATAAGACCCCAGAAATGGGATAGAATGACATAGCAGTGTCACCAACAGGTCACCAAGAGAGCAACCTGCGGCAGCTCGACACCAACTTCCCCTTTCACCTCACAGCGAGCCGGACGACGCGAGAGCGCAGGGAGCTGAGAAGATGCGTGCTGGGCACCGGCCGGTACAGAGCAGCCGGAGACGCCCCCAAATCCCAGCCTCCCAAGTCCGAAGCGGCGGCAGCGGGCCGACACTGACACACCTATCTGCAGAAGCGAAGGCTGGGCTGTCGACCGAAGTGCAGTCCGCAACTTCGCAAGTCTGGAAACCAGCGACGAGTCAAGCACCGCGCCTAGCATGCAAATGAACAACAGCAAGAGCGCGACGGCTGCAGTGCGTCCGATCGCTGTTGGCCAACCTCGATGACAACCCGGCTTGCATCCACCAGCAGTGGATTCCAGTAATCAAGCCCTGCGATATCGCCGAGCAGAATTTCGAATGTGCAGACGCCGCCTCACGCAAACCACATGTAATGGCAATAGAATGTCTGCATGTCGAAACACTCTTCAACATTTACACTTATGCAGCAAGGGCAAACCTGATGGCAGCTCCTATTGTGACGAATCGAAGACTGAACTCACATGACAGTTAGTGTGTTCACGCAGAGACGAACTTGATCCACTCCGTATGCATCCATGCGGCGGCACGGGCGTGCATCGCCCGGAGCAAAGAACGGACTATCCTGAACTTGGCGTTGTTATTACAGTGGGCCCAGTAAAGGCAGTCCGTCACTAAAGGCAAGTTGTGCACTTCGTCGCAGTGTCAACACAGGACCATGAAGCTTCCGATTCAAGTCATGCCCAGCTACCTTCAAAGCCCATCGCGATCGCCGTAGGGTGACGGCAGGTTGCTGCTTCAGTTCGTCCTTGATTCAAGGCCAGACCAGATGCCTGTCACGTCTACAGATCGGCCAACCGACTTCGATGACCAGCGGCTTGAACGACGACCAATACCTCGGCTTTCTGTCGCCACTCTCTGATGCCCTACACATGGGCGTTGCACATGGTAGTCTACCATGTGCAGTGCTCCAATCTGCAGGCTGGCGACCAGTTTCTTGGGTTTGCCAGCACCGGCGCCGATGCTGGCAATGCCATCAACCCACAAGAAGAGCACCGAATGGTTCGTGGAAGCGTAGCCTGCAAGGATCCGAGGAAACGATGCCCAAATCGCTCCTTTTGTCGCTGAGCCGCGTCCCACCCACAGCGCTGTCAAGGGAGCGAAGGCCGGCAACGCCTGCAACGGACTCTGAAGGACGCGAGACGTACTTCATTAAGTGTCATGGCGTGTCCATACACGTTCGGCATCGCTGCAATGCGATAACTCTACTCTACAAGTGTATGTCTCCAAAAATGTATCCATCTACCGGCATATACGCAGCTGCAAGAGTACACTGAGTACACCATCTCTGCATGGCCGTGCGCATGCCTTCTTCCACACAGCCAAAAGAAAAAAAGAGAAGCTAACTCCCCCCTCCGCCGCGGCTTGCCTCGAGTTCTCTCCTTGTTGCTCTGGTATTTCCGACTTCGTTGGAAAGATATGGAAGGAAAGAACACGTTTCGGTAGTCCGGTAGTACAACTGGCTGTGCGTTGGCACGAAAGATTTGCTGAAGAGGGGAAAAGACCTGGCAGATGGTTGGCATAGTCCACTTTTGAATTCCTTCCCACAGCTTAAACGAACATATCACACTCAGAACGTCCGGCAGCGGCACGGGGGCGCAGCCAGGTCTTGTGTCCAGAGCAACTGGGAGCAGATCCCCTCTCATTCTCAACTCCATGGATGCTGGGCTGCTGCCAAGAGGAGGCAGTCGCAACGATTTCAGTGGATATAAGAGATCCATCAGCCTCGCGGCCTGCTGAAAGAAATGTGTAAACGGCGGGTCTTCCGATCTCCAACCTCCGCTCTTTCGCTCTCTCTGTCTCTCTTGCTTGCTTGCGTGCTTGCCGGGCTTGGGGGCTTAGGGCCCCGGGGGACAGATGCCCTGTGCGCGAGCGCTACGCCTTAGTTCGTGTCCTGATTCGGCGAGAGATGTGTGTCGTCTGGGCCCCAACCCCAGGTATGCAGCACTGAGGGTCAACGCCGTTCGCTCGCTCTTTCGCTCTCTCTCCTCCCTCTCTCATTATCTCCTTCTTCTATCCTTGTCTCTGCACCAGGGCTGTTTATTTGTGTTCGATGATTCCGTCCCGGGACTCATCAGCCTCGGCACGATGTGGAGACGAGCTGAGCTCATCTTCATCCATGGCGCGTGAAAACTAAGATCGCATGGGACAAGGTCTGTTTCGAGGCTGGGCGCATCTAGGCTAGGTGTCTTCGACCTCGGAGTTCAAAGGGCCTCGGAGGGCCGCAGGTCCGCTACACTTTACATACTTTACTACATGTCTCAGACAGCTTTGAACCGAAAGCCGGGTGCGAGTGGAGCCATGGCCTCTCAGCTCGGAGACAGAGATGCAGGCAAAAAGTGCTCTCTGCTGGCCTTGAGAGACGCGGAAGTGGCCAAGCTGGTCGCCTACCAACACACGCAATCCGTGCCGTAAGAGCTACGATGACATGTACTGTGGGGCACCATCAGAATTCAAAGAGCTACTACAGGTATAAGGGTTCCTTTCAGTGATCCTTTGAAGGGAAGGCAGGCTTCCTTTACATAAGGGCTATAAGGGGTCGCAGCCAGGGTGGGCCTCCGCCGTGGCGGAGCCTTTGGCCTCCGCGGCCTGGCAGCGCAGAAATCTTTGCACCTTTTTGTTGTTTTCGGGATCGGGGTTTGCCGATTGGATGCGATTGGGATCGGGAAAACCTCAGTGGAAATCTCGAAACCCCCCAAAAAAGTCAGAAGCCGAAAGGTGCGTTGTCGGAAGTGTCTAACGATAGCAGCTTAGCATTTTGGGCATGAGTGTGTGAAACACCAGCGCCAACGTTGTCCGTGCTGTATCAAGACTTCACGATCCTTTGGAGCACGTTACCCACAGGCACCCGTTTCTGTACGACATGCAGTTCACGTGGCATCGAGAAGGGACCCGCACTAATACCCCGTACTCTGACTGCGCTTTCGCCCCCTTCGCCTTCGCCTTGCTCTTCTCCTTGGCCTTCGCCTTGGCCTTCGCCTTGGCCTTGGCCTTGCCAGCCTTCTCAGGGGCCAAGGCACGGGATGCTCTCTGCTCTCTGCACCTGTCCGGTCCCTCCCCGTCCGGCCGACTCTTTGATGGTCTTCTTCTTGGGCGCCATTGCGGCGTCTAGCGTGCATCTACGCTGCTGTCTTGGAAGAGCTGCTGCACTTCCTAGCGACCTTTGAAAGCATCGGAAATCAAGTTGGCAATCGCAGAAGCTTGGCTGGACTCCTAGTTTCTATAAGCGTGACTGCTACATATGGCTCAATCTGAGACTGCCCGTGAGCAGGAGAGAGCGATGTCATCTCAGATCTGCACCAACCAACATTCCTGATACGAGGATGCTTCGTCTGGTTTCAGGTTTTAGGATTCACGTCGAATCCATGTCCCGTCATACAGACATTTGGAGGCCATGCAGTGATGCAGTGGCCCCTGAATCTCATCCTGGTTGCGCAGATATTCTCCTCCCTTCCCTTCTCGTTTCCCTGAAACAGGGGGCCTGAAGCGCGTGAGGCGCCGCGAGAAGGGGCACTCCGTCTGAAAGTCGAAGGGAAAAACTGCCTCCGTTCATGCCGTGTGCAGACGGCGAGTGAGACGAGAACGCTGGACCAGCCTCCAGGTTTTCGAAGTGCAGACACCTGGGCTCCGACTCCGACTCTCCGGGAATTCAATCTGTCACGGGCTCGAGTTCTGTTCTGAACCACTGTCAAGCAGAGGCACAGCCCTAGTGCACCCGGCCTCTTGCTGCTTCCCACGTATTGTCGTAGCAGCGTAGGGATGCTGCCGGTCTCAGATTCAATGTTGAAGGCAGCTTTCCGAGGCGTATGCAAGTCCACTACTCTCTCGAGCTATCCATGCATCACATGAATACTGATGTGCCATGCAAGTCATCATTGGCTTGCACGGCAGCAACAATAACAGCAGCAGCAACAACAGCACCACCGCCAGCATCATCATCGCCATCCTCCCAGATCTTGAGGAGGCTGCCTCTGGGAAGAGGAGCTCGTCATCATCGAGATGAAGCAGGAAGTCGCATCTGGCGGCAATCAAGGCTGCAACGACGCTCAGTCCCTGTCCAGCTGACACGTAGAAGTTGCTTACGAAGCTCTCACATCGACTGGGGCAGCCCCACGGCACCTCCGGGCTCGAGCTGCCCGGATAGCTTTGTGCACAAACCTCAGGGGATTCGCGGGCCTGTGAGGTACAAGGATGTGGCAGCCAGCGCGGGCCTGATCTGACGCGTCATGACACGTTGGAAGCTGCTCGACGCTTTGCCCTGCACGATTGCAAAACACATCAGAACCGCTTGATTCCAGCGAATACCTGCAAGGAGGACTCCAGCAGGATCAAGCAGCCGCTGTCCCGCAGGTCGCGGATGACCTGCGCGGATCTTTCGTTGGGGCCCAACAGGCCCCTATGATGACACCCCTTGTGAGCCCCTATCTGAATCCGCCATGAATTCACCGGGAACTGGACCTCCTCTTGCTCTTGGCCCATTGCACCCTCCTCGGCTCTGACATGTCTGAGGTCTGAGGTCGAAGGACACGACCTCTGCCGACAGGGTACCCAGCGAAGAAGAACGAGCCGGATGCCCTGCGACAGAGAATCATGACGTCTGTTCGAAGCTCTGATCACCTCAGAACTGATCCCCTGCACCTTCGCCAAATGCCAGAAAAGCCATTCGCGCAGCCGCGCTGGCCGGCACCTGCATAAGCGATGCCCGTGCGGTGGGCTTGGTTTGTGACCCGTGACGGTAGGGTGAAGCACCCGCGAGTGCAGCTGGCAAGCGCCACTTTGGGCGAAGGAGGCGGCAGCCGTGCCTGCCAGTCTTGGGGCTCGGGCAGAACCACGCAAGCTACGATCAGCCCAATATCCCGCCTGCGAAGCTGCGAGGTGAGTGAGGTCCTTCGACGTGCGCAGCACAGACAAAGTTCAGTGCCTTGAAACCCGGAATGGCTGCCTCCGGCACATTTCATAAACCACGGTAGTGGGTTTCGACAGCGCGGGATACAGTTGCGAGGCTTTTCGACCCGGCTCTAAGCCGGATGTGCTCGGAAGCTGCCACTGTCTGCGTAATCATCTTTGCTACTCGACCTGCCATGTGCATGCGGAGGGATTGTCATTCTTGCAAATGTCTTGGTGGGTTGCGGACTCAATCCCGATGCAACTATTCTAGCACTTCTGTCGGGAGCCACGCTCCTGCTGCCAGCAAAGCATGCTGCATGCATAGTCCGTACGTTGAGTCGACTATGCCTGAATATCTATATACTAGAGTGCCGTCCTCGTTGTGAACAGGTAGCGCCAGCTCTCTCCTCTTGAAACACACAAGATTACATAAGACCACAAAGGAGCAGAAGAAAGTTCGATTCAGGCTGAAATGCAGTCCTCCGCGAGCATGTCGAAGCGGTACTCGGGATGGTCTGCACATGCAAGAACTGTTGCAGCATGGAAGGCCTGAGGCCTGACGAAGGCCTGACGTCGGCCTCCTGCCACGCTTGCGACTTGGCTGCCCAGTCGATGCGTCGCCGCCTTCCGGGCCGGGACTGCGCTGCGCCGCGACCCCGGTCGGCGGCAGGGAGCCCAAATGACTCGCCCCCGCCTGGCCGGTGGCTTCGACGCGTCCCGCTCCATCGGTCGATCTGCCCCGTCGGACCTCTTTGGAGCTTTATGGGCGTTTTTCTTCTTCACCAGGATGGGAGTCTGGTTGGTCTGTTCACAAAAATCAACTGCTAGCTGCTAGCTGCTGTGAGCCCAGCACGGAACGAAGGCACAAATGCACGGATTCTATCATGACAGGGGTCACCCAACTACCATAGAGGGTGAGACTTCCTTGTCTCAGCGACTACTTAGATCGCATCCAGTCGGGTGGCAGCGGGTCCTCGCTCCACTGCATTGGCAGAGCATGACGCCGCAATTCTAGGGGCATTAACGGCAACGAGCCTGCGGATTTGGGCCCGAATCACTTCCTCTCAACTTTGCAGGGAATTGGAGCACTGGCCTCAGCTAAAGCAACAAGTGCTTTACAGGAACGACATGGCACTAAGCTCCCCGCTGCATGTCCGACGAACATTGCTGCCAGATTGCCGAAGAGCCTCCCGTCCAGATGAGTTGCATCCGTGGAAACCGAACCTACGCCACAATTCAACGACCTGGCCTTTCGAGGTACTGCGGGCCCGGACGGCCTTCGAGCACCTGGAAGTCTTTCTGCAGACGTCCGGTGTACAGGTTTGCCCAGACAGGAGAGATCATGTCGCCTTGAGTCGGTCATGAGAGCCGAACTCCTGGCAGAAGCAGGGGCTCCTCTCCTCTTCTCGCAGGGCCGAAACGTGCCTCCTCGCATTTTCGCCGCTTGGCCAAAGCCGTCTCCAGCTCGGCCTTCACGCGTCCCAACTGCGCCTGGAGTGGACTCTCTTTGAACTCGATTCGAAAATCCACTTCCCTGGGTCCCTTCCTTTCGCCAGGCCTCCAGTTCCTCGGTGGTCAGTGCGATTGTCTTCTCCTCCGCCTTCAGCCTGACACAAGGACAAGGCGCTCCGCAGCTCTCACGAAGAGTTTTCCGAAAGGCCCACGACATCCCACGACTTCTGGACCTGGCCTTAGAAGCCTCGCTTGGAGCTTTGCCTTCAAAGCTTCGAGGCTGAGGTGATGAGTAGAGTAGTTAAACAGGCCTCCTAACACTTCCGATGCCCCCTAATTAGTCAAAACTTTGATTGCAGTATACTTGCCAACGGCTTCAAGGCTGAGCCCCGGAGCCACAGCGGTCGTTGCTGCCACCGCAGAGTCTCCCAGCAGCCTGACAAAGTCTTCTGCGGAGAAGCGAGAGGCGGCCTCTACACTCCCAATCCCGAACGTCTCCGACTGAGTGCTGAGCTTGCGTTTGAGGACACGCAGCCTCATCTCCATCTCTTCCCCATTCTTTCCAGCGCCGAGGCTTTGTTGCGTTGGTGGCGCGGCTGCTTTCGGTTCCTGCGAGATCTACATGCAGACCCTAACTGTATGCCTCTTGGCAGGAACAAGCCCGGGCCATGTCATATCATGTCGTGCACGTACGAAACTTAGATCTCGCTAGCATTCAACAAACCATTGCGGATGCCTTCTCCGTTGCGGCTGGCACTTTGGGCTTTGGAGCCTGCGCCTTCGGCTTTGCCACCGTTTTGGCCTTGGGCTCCGCTGGAGCCGGAGCCTTCGGACTCTGCTTTGGCAGCTCTTTCGGCGCCGCCTCCGCCGCCGGCTGGGGCTCCGCTTTGGCCTTCGCCGCCGCCTTGGGCTCGGCCTTGGGCTCCGGCGCCGCCGCCTCCGGCGCCTTCGCCTTCGGCGGCGCCGTTGGCTGCGGCTTGGGAGTCTCCGCCTCCGCCTCCGCTTTCTTCGCCGTTTTGCCGGGCTCCGCCCTGGGCGTTGGGGCCGTGGGGGGAGCCTTTGCCTTCGGCGCCGGCGGCTTAGGCGCGGCTGCCTCTGTCGGCTTTGGCTTTGGCGCCTCCGCCTTGGTCTTGGACGCCTTGGGCTCCGCCTTGGGCTCCGCCTTGGGCGTTGGCGCCACCGACGTCGATGCCTCCCCACAAATGCACGAATATACGCGCACGAACATGCACGAAGGCAGAGTCTTGGGTGGATCGGGACAAGGCTGGCCCTCGCAGGTCGGAACGGACTCGACGGGCGCGCCTCTGAGGACTCGCTCTCCGACGTGAACCTCAAACGACTGAAAGATGTGTGGCGTTCCGCTCGCTCCTCTAAGCCCTAAGCTCAACTGAGCCTGAGCCCTGGGCTGTTCCGTGGGGCTCAAGACCTCCTCCTCTTCGCTCTCCTCGGCCTCCGCGACTCCCAAGCCGCTCTCCCCTCCGAGGCTCCGCTCAGGCCGATTTCGCTCTGCTTAAGCGATGATCGCGCGGCGAGCCTGTCGCGCAGCGAAAGGCAGAGGTGCTTCAAGCACTTCTGCCCCTAGTAGGGGTTTGTAAACTTCGGTCCGGCTATGTATTATGTATACAGATCAACCATGCTCCATCTTCGCATTACTGCATTTGGCAGACGGTATGCGGGGTTCTTTGACCACACATGGAAATGGCCGAAGGTCTCTCAAGATGAACAACAACCTCTCTAAGACATTCGGCACACATCTCAACTCAGTCGTTCGTCAAGTTTGAGAAAGTCATCGAAGCCAGCCAGCGGGTAGGAAAATTCCTCTCTCCAGCGGCGGTCGACTCGCCCGAGCCTGGAGCTGCAAAGGAACGCCAAGAGTTTGCGACGGCCGGAGGGACGCATGCGCCTGAACCCGACTCTTCGTCGTTGCTCTGGCTGTCACAGCTTTGAGAGGCGATCTCTTCCTCCTGACATCAAAGCGGTCATGCACTCACTACCGTGCCCTCGTGACCTCGCTCGATTCAAACGGTTGTCAGGCTGCTGTCTGCTTGCAAAGTCTCATGCTTGGGCTGCTTCACGGCGTCAGTGCCGTCGCTACCGACTGCTGCCGTCGCTCACTGCTGCCGCTGCAAATGTGACCCATGCCGCAAATTGTGGAGACGCCCCCTTCTGCATCAAAGTTCTGCTCGTCCGATTGAAAGGCAAGCCTTCTCTGCTCTTTTGGCAAATCTCGTGCTTTTTTTTCACTCCACTCGTCGCCTGGAAGGCTTCTCTGTTTTCCCACCTCAGAGCTCTCTCCCCGCGGACTTTGCAGCTGCAAGTGGAAACGGACTCTCAAAAATGGCTCCTCCATCTGCATGCGTTGGTAATCGGGTACGACCACAACACCTGCGCTCTTGGAAATGGAATCCATGCCGCCACCCGCCAACTCTGAATGATGACGAGTGGCGCTTGTGGTACTGAGGCCTTGGATTCGGCCAACCCACTCGCAGAAAAGATCGCAAACATCAGTCTCTGCTGCCCGGAAGCTCGATTTCATTGATGGCCTCCTGGGCGGAGTCCTCTGCACTCTCTGCAATGGCTGCCAGGCGTTGTGGGTCAACGCCGAGCACGGACCTGACTTCTCGCGGCATCCAATGGCGCCATGGTTGAGGGTGCCTTCTCTTGACGCTTTATGACGCTCTCACGCTTCGCAGGTCGACGGTGTCGCCAAGGGGCTCCGGGTCTTTCTTCCGTCTATGTGGGAAAACTTCGAAGAGTGCCTTAGGCTGATGCAGGTCTCCATGAAAGCGCATGCGAGCGAGCCACTGCACCGAACGAGCCGCTGAACACCATCTTCTGCATCCCAGCCCACAGTTGGAGCAGTCGGAGCTTGGCTCCTTGCAGGCAGGGCCTCCCAAACCCAAGGGTGCCTCTAAGATAGTCTTTTGCAACACGCCCGTAGGAGCTCCTTGAGCTGGTGCCGGAGCCAAAGGACGTAGGGCTGAACAAAGTAGTTCCTGAGCTGAGCATTGAAGCACAAAAACACAAGCTCTGTAGCACACTGCGAGACTCCCTTGAACCAAACAGAAGGAGCTAAAAGTTTGGCAGACGCTGTTGAACCGTGAACTGCAGGCTTTGCAAAGCATGCTCCCACACACTGCATCGCGGATGCTCAATGAAGTACGCTGACGGCAACAGCACAAAGGGGTACGCGATGAGGAACCTCGTCTGAAAAGAACCGACGGCTAATCGCTTGATGTGCAGCGGAGCCTGCCAAAGCCTAAGATTCTTGACAAGATTTATCAAGCGCTGCTACCCGAGTTGCTTTTCTGGTACGGGATTGTGGCCCCATGGTCCACGGCGGTCCGGGATAAGGTAGAAGGCCAAGAATGAAGAAACGGGATCCTCAGGGCAGGGCATAGGTGTGGCTGCTGGAGCCGTGGTATCGGGTCTCGCCTGCAAGAGATACTGGGAATATGAGATCCGTCCCAGGATTCGGAACACGTGCGTGCGGAAGAGGTACTTCACCAAGGGGTCCTCACCTGCCGTGAACGCGGCTCTACTCGAAATATCACCTCGGGCGGCTTCGGACCTAGACCACAGCCCAGCAGGATGAGCACCAGGACCGGGATCAAACCCCCGTCGTGAAACCTGAACGCTTGCTTTCAAAGCAGGCAAGGAGAATAAAACGAGCGAGATAAGCAGGTGCAGAACCACTGTGTTGCTGGCCTTCTGGGAAACTCTAACCGTACCGATGACCGAAGCATCACGAAGCAGCTAGGTGCAGCACATCCAGTACACTTTTCCATGGTGAAGCCCGTTGCTGATACCAGGTTCCAAGAAGGACCAACTGATGACCAATCCAGCCCACAACAGGTATCCTGAGATCACAGGTACGGGCGTAGCTTGGCACGGATGCCGGGGCATCACCACTTCGACGAGCGTCCGAGCGTGCAGCCGTATCTGAGCACCAGTGGCGCCCGCTCCGTGGCGAGCACTAGATCCGTTGTTCCTTCTGACGGCGGCAGTCCTGCGGACCGCAGTTCTCCCTGTTTCAACCCGATCCCGTCCACTCCGTCCTGTTTCTTTGTCCACCAAGCAGAGAAGGATGAAGACGCGAGAAGCCACCACTCCGGACAGGAACACATGGAAGTAGGCAACCGGTGTCGCCTGCATTTGCGTTCGGGACAGTCTCAGGTAGACGCGACTTTGACAGCATAAGGGCACCCGGGCCTGCACCAGGTTCGAAAGGACCAGTCGCGCGTACTCCTTCGGCACAAGCCAATGGCACGCAGACGGAATTCACCATGAACAAAGCTTTCTCTGGCCAATGAGTGCGAGCACAGAGTCCGAACCACCGCTGTTCTCATCGGGGTACAAAGCCAAAGGAAGAAGCGAACACAGCCAGCAACCTCGCGAAAGCCAGGTGGGCGTAGTGAGGCGGAAGCAACTCATGCGACAAAAGAAGAACGACCTGCCTGCGAGACAGACCATGCATGTACACAGCGATGTTGCTTGAAATAGGCGCGAAAGGGGGCGAACACAGATCCAGTATCTCGGCACAGGATCAGTTTGACTCAAAAGGCACAGGCAGCCCAGACTGCCTCGAAACTTCACTGCATGTTGTGACCTTTCCACATTGTAGGCCCCAAGCATCAGCAAGCACGAGAGGAACCATGAGACACCTCGTGCAAGCTGGCATCAAAGCTGCATCAAGCCCCAGAGAAAATTGAGTCACACCTACTAGCCGAAGGTTCTTCTACCCTTCATGTACCAACGTTATGCCACGTTGCCGTTGTACATGTAGGCAGCACACCTTACTTCTCGGCGTGCTTCAACAAGCTTCTTCTCAGCTTCACATGAACCGCTTTGCAAGCCTGTTCCAGCACTGCGCCTGTCGTGCTGCTTGCTTTCTACACTTCCCGCGCTGTGCCTGCGCTATCCTTTCCGTGCCTCTCCGTCGCGCGATGGCTGAAGGCTCTCACACTAGTGACTGGCAATCACCTGAAGCGGTATTAAGGGCTCCTCCTTTTCAGACATGACCGAGCCACGTGTTCTCGTAGCAGATTGGAACGATCGACCTTCGCATGCGGCCGGAGTTGTAACACGCATGCCAGAAAAGAACTCTCGGTGTTCAAATTCGGGATAAAGCAAACTGACTTTCTTGCAAACGACATCGCGGCTGCATCATGTCAAACCACAGTACAGACGAATAGCCATCGTGATGTCTGATGCCAAGGGGCTGAAGCAGCAGAGCATTCAACGGCAAACAGCACCATTCGAAGAGGCTTCGCTCGGAACGGTCTAAGACACACCTGCAGAGGCCAAATACTACGTTACTACGATGGATGAGTCTTGGCCCTAGACTCCTAGACACTTCGTTCGGGTCTTGCCTACAAGTCTGTCTCTTGCCAGTCTTTTCCCATGCTGCGAGACCAGGCACATCAACAGTGTTGCGAAGTGAAGCGGGTAGATGGTCACCTCACGAAATGCGAAGATAGGCTGCTTGTTACCAGTACAGAGTACAGTAATTCCAACTCGATGACAGCTGAGCACACTGCAAGTCGCTTCTGGAGGTATTGCACCACGGTGAGAGTGTTGCCCCCTTGTGGTTTTGAGATTTCCTCGGCAATCGACAAACAAATTCCATATTTGGTTCCTGTATACCTAGAGAAAATCACAAAGAAAGCAACAGCCAGAGCAGGAGAAAGCCTTCCGAGCTGACTACTGCCAAGCTTCAGTGTAGGACAAGATGAAACCTCCCAGTATGAAGAAGAACTGTGTCCAAAGGCCACCGAACTCGAAATACCTCACTGTAACGGCAATACTCTGAGTCCATCTGTCAGGGTCTCTGCGATGTGTTGATCCAACATCAAACTCCAAGTTGCGTGACACCGGTTGACTGGTAGTAATGGAAAATCACCTTGGCTGAGCGAACAACCTGCTCACGCTGTAACTCAGAAATTCGACTTCTAAGAACTGGGTCTCTCGTGTCCGAGCATCGATGTGGGCGGATGCAATCCAGCGCGGTGCATCCAGGCCATCAAGTCGCGGAGATGGCATCTGTCGGTGGGGCCTTCGCTTTAAGGCGCTCAGGCGGACATGGCCGCAGAGCTGAGAACGATGACCTCGTGCCTGTTTTCCTGGTAGGTTGCTATAAGGGCTGCAAGTTGTGCCTTGGCAGCCGAACTACCTTAAACCTACATACCATAACCTGCCGTGTTGTGGGGTCCCGATAAGTCTTATATCAGGACGCCTATTCGGACAGCACGAAAAGTGGGCTAGCACGATTTGCACGATTTCGTTTGTTCAAAGTGGGGTCACAGCCTCGACTAACTCGGTCGACAGCTAAGCCGAAATCGCAGAGAGAAACACTTGCAGAGCTGCAGCAGCTGCGCAGCTGTTGCACGGGTACATCTGCGACATCCAGTGCTCCCCATCTTGGAGATCTCTGAAACGGGTGCTGAAAAGCGCCTGTCCGGGTAGAGATCGCAACTCTTCCGCTGGCCTGAGCACTCAGCTTGCACGCAGGCAAACCGCAGGCTCAGGACGACGGAGCTCACAGAAACGAGCTGCCAGCATCGGAGCTTTCGTCGCTGCAGACTTAGAGCGGCCGCCCAAGGCCTCCTGGCCGTAGAATGACACTGACCCAGCAGACTCGATCTGAATCTGCTGCACCTCGTTCAGCAAGGAAGGCTGAGCTTTGGAAACCTCCGAACACATTCGGCTACCCGGGCACTTGCCCTTGCACCGCCATAGCCGCCACCAGATGAAATCATTTAAGGGGACTGTACCATGATTGAAAAACGATGGTGAGGCGAATCAAAACATCAACAACAAGAAGTTTTCTCCTTGGGATGCTAGCTCCAGGCCAGACCTTCTGGGTCTTCGCACCGCTCAAGAGTAAGCTGCAGCTGTCGGTCCTGTCTGTCGTGATGGAAGACTGCTCTTTCACGAAACTTAGACGGAACCTGCCCGACAAATAGGCAGACAGGATCTGCGCATAGGCAGACCGAAGCTTCTTAGCTTCAAATCCTCAGCCAAGATTTCACCAATTTCACCGGAGCTGACATTTATCAGTCAGAGTGAGGCTGAGAATTGCATTGGCGAAGAACATCTCGACTATCATAGTAGGCGCCCACGGCCCAGCCTTTGTGCCGTGGTGACTGGGGACCATGCTTTTCAGGAAAGCCGGCGTCGCATGCCCTGAATCACAACAATCTGTGAGTTGAAGCAGAAGCCTTGTGGCAGCCCCCGCCTTCGTACTTGTCCTGCAGAATGGCCGCGGCAAAAAGAGACCCAAGGCCTCGCCAGTAAAATGACAGCTCCCGTTGCTTCGGATGGCTCCGCTCGTGTGCTCGCCGGGACCCTGGCTCAGGAGCTCTGAGCCTGTGGAAGGGGTGCAGCGGATTGGTGTCACAGTCTGCCTCGGAATTCGGCTGCATCAAAGCAGCCGTTGAAGAGCCGGTTGCAGTTTGGCCATCCTCATGACACCTAGCTGACCTAGCTGCCTACCACTCCGTCCTCTGAGGCCCTGGGCAATGGGTATTGGACTCCGTCAGCCTGGGTCGGCAACGGACAACCCTGCCCCGGAACCTGAGCCTGCAACTTAGCTGCTGCTACTGGTGCGGCCTTTGCTTAAATCTCGACGGTGTGCAAACATCCCACCCAGCAGGTGTCTTAGAACAGGAGGCGGAGGTCACTGTGGCAGAATCAGATCGATCGCTTATCCTATCCCCGACTTGCCATGGCTGCCGAGAATTCTAGTATTTTTGGTCGGGGGTTGGACAGCTGCTGGGTTGAATCCCACCACTTCGCTTCAAGCACATTGAAGTGGCCACCGTTTGCGCAATGCACTGAGTCGCGGCCTCGAAAATCAAAGCACCGTTCAACACACCCAGGAAGCGCTCCTGGCATGCTCTGGCTTGTGTTGCAAGACGTACTTCACTGCCTTCTTGGAGACCCCTCAGTGCCCCTGCTGCTTCCGAAGTCCCTGGTCCGAAAGAATGGCGACGGTCGTAAGCTGTCGTGCGGTCGCAAGGCCGAAGATGAAATCTCTTCCACGGATGATGAGCTTTACATCTGCCTACGCAACTCCCCTAATCATTCCAATCGATCAGTATCACTGTGAAGCAGCACGCTGTTTCCATGCTGTTCCCCTAGAAGACTTGAGACTTGTTCGGAGATGTTTAAACTTCAAAGTCGGCAGCTGCCTTCCTTCGCTTACGTTTGGCCCTCGACAGTGGCAATCGAGAGATCTTGGAAGTGCTCCTGGCTGAAGTACTGGCGCAGCAACGCCACGCAAGCCGTCGGTGCCTTCCAGTGCACCCAACTTGCATCCGACTGACCCAGAAAACACGTACCAAACGCCGGCAGAGATGGCACGGTGTGGCATCTTGCCTTGTATGCTGCATCCAGCTCCTTCCTGGCCTGTATACACAGCGATGGCACCACGGGCGCACAAAATCATCTGCAACAAAATGCAGAATTCGCGGGGAAAGGGTAATCCGCGTCTTTATTTTTTGGGTTATCTGCGTCTTTATTTTTTGGGTTATCTGCGTCGTTTTTTTTGGTTTTGTATGGCACCTA